TTCGATATAGTAAATATTCGATATAGTCAAGAAAAATCCCCGTCCCGTCGACTTTACTATATCGAGTCTTGACTGTAATAATAACCCCATTTCCGCTTTCATAGATTAAAGCGTTAACATTACCCAGACACTTTAAAGTCTAGCCAATGCACTCGGATCTAAATTATGGTGCTATTCTTTTTTAAATTGTTCTGGTGATATGTCTCTTTTTTATCGTATTACTAGACGCATTATTCATATGGATCTAGTCCACCTTTCAAAACCATAACTGTGCAGAGACATGGGACGTGGATAGCCCACGACGCTCATGAACGCGCTGTCAGTAGATTGCTGAATTTGTAATTTCTTTCTCCTTTCTAATCTTATACTGCATTCTTTAGAAGAGTGCTACTGACTTAAACCTTTCATGATAATGTCTTTGCTTTCCTTTTCCCGTCAGAATACGTTGGTTTGAAGAGACAACAAGCTGCGACTACTTCATCGTCGGGCAATGGTTTTATACTCTGATCTACTCTGTTCTGAGTGCTCGCTCCCGCCAGGACTGGGCAGGGTGGGTTGTATATTCTTCCGCAAGCTCTCTGTATATTTTCAACCCTCTGATTTTCTTCCCTTCTTCGTGTTGCATGTCGCCCTCCTTCGCGCTCTTCCTGGTGTGTCTGCATCGATTATATTAGAGTTCAGTTACGCCAACTGCACTAGCGTTTTCTGGTACAGTATTAATGTCTATTGATGAGTCGGAGATATTAAACTAGCCCTCTGATATAATAATAATATTATTATTACGTTCAGTTGTTATTATTATTATTATTATTATTATACTGCTACTACTACTAGAGTTAGTGTTAGTGTATTTATTACAGGGGGTAAGCTACTCTAACTTCGACTTTAGCGAACTAAAGGAAGTAAACGTTTATAAGACATGATAGAGAGACCTTTCAAGTGCATTTTCAGCCTATTAAATATCAGGGGGAGTTTGCATTAATAGGGGGTTGCGATAGGAGTAACTGACTCCGGAGCGAGAATTTCATATATAAACTTTGTGATCGCATGTCACTATTAACAACATTTCGGACAGTTCGGGTTGACGTGAACGAATTTGGGTTTAAATTTTTAGATGGTAAAGTTAGCATCAGCAGTTTGTTATATACGCAAAAAAGTTGTAACACACGGCCTGTGCTACTTGGCAAAAAATAAATAAAAACACTTTGAACGCGTATACCTTACCCAATATGGATTATTTTTGTTTCGCGTTTTTTTTTATTTGTTGTCGTGAACATTAACAATTGTTTTACAATCAAGTTTGAATACACAACGTGACGTGAGACCATGGCATTTAGTCAAAACAAATGAATGCCAAAACAGTTTATGGCTGAAGAATGGAATGCGATTCCTGATAGTGTGTCAATCAATTTAGTGCGCTCAATGAGACGAAGATGTGAACTGGTTATAGAAAGAATACCTTATTAATTTTTTATCAATGTAACCTCTGGTTATAAGACATTAAAAATACAGTATATAAAGCAAAAAAGCGTGTTCAATAATCGATGACTTGATTGCATCTAGCATGTCCGAGTTAGAATTGGGGACCAGTCTCAGTTCGGAACCCAGTCATCAGTCCAGGTTTAAGCAATTGTGCCGTAAAATAATATATAATTTAATTAACCCTTTTCCATACTGATATTTTAGTTTCATTAATAAAAGTCCTGATATTTTACAACTGAACAAACGACTTATGTTACATCTAAAAAGTCAGAGCTCACGTAATCACATCACTATTTATCAATTTGTTCATCAACAATCGCAAAAATTAAATTAATTCAAAACCTCAAGGTTCGTCATAAATAATTCATGAGCCAGAAGAACATCAGTGTCTCAAAATGCTCAGCCACATTCGCATGTCGTAGTCCGTGCCGTTCAGTAGGGTACGGTTGAAGTACGTGAGGCTTGTTGTGTTTGACAAGTGCTGCGACCAATCGTTCTGAATTTTCAAAATGCACGTTTTCATCTATCTGGCCATGGGCAATGAGCAATCGATTCTCACTGGCAGCAGCGATTAATTAACAAATGAAGTAATTTAAGTCTTCTTTTGTTCCGCCAATCAGTGTGCTCTCCTCGACTCTCTTTTTTCTTCCCATCCATCCAACTTACCTGTCGGGAAACTTATCGATCCAATACAACACACTTCCTTTTCGATATCCTTCAATGTTATCACTTGGCAATCCCATATATCTCTCGGTATAAGCAGTATCGTACAATTCCCATTGCGATACTGGTGCTCCCGCAATAGCCAATTTAAAAACATCAGGATGCTGTGCAAGAGCCATCAGACTCAAATACCCTCCATAGCTCCATCCTGTTATAGCCACTCGCGTCAAATCAACTCCCATATTACGAGAAGAGAGATATCGCAATCCAGCAATCTGGTCTTCCAGTTCCACTGTACCCATACGGTTCTTGAGATGAGCTTCAAATGCGATGCCACGGTCAGATGAACCACGTCCGTCGATTAAAACCACGCAAAAGCCGAGTTTACTCGCAAGGAATAAGCGGAGAAGACGTGGATATTTATAGTCGTTTGTCACCATCTTGAAGACGTGGATGAGAAAAAATTGATTAAATAAATAACGTCGGACGTTTTGAATGCGAATTCAGATCTTATTTTGGCGACAGCCGTATACATTTCACGTCCATACCTGTGATTTTGGCCCACCGTAAATGTTTAACAAAGTAGGATATATCCTCCCGGGCACATAATTTTCAGGCCGATATAAGCAACCATATATAGTAACGCCATCGCTATTTACAAATTCAAAAAACTCTCCCGCTGGCACCTTTTTCTCCTCCAATCTTCCGTCACCCTTCTCCTCGTCTTCCACAAATCCATATCCTATGCTGACTCCGACTCGTTCACTAACGTTTGGAAATATATTTCCCTTTCGCCATTCCAAATATCTCACCATGCACCTCGGCTTTTCCTCTGTACTCGAGAACCAATCTAAAAACTTTTCACACTTTTCATCCATGATAGCAACGTGACTATAACCCAATTTTGTTAGACGTACTATAGCTGTCGGATCTGCTGACGGTGAGAAACTAGCAACATACAAGTGCGTTTCAAGAAATGTGTCCTTCTTGGCAGTGAAGTAGACTAGCTCGCGCACAGAGTCCACAAAAATTGGACGATCGACTACCGGCCAGTCACCTGAAGTTATCTGGCGTAGATTGTATGGTGATGACGGTGAGGGCTGAGTTATGAAATAAAGATGTCGATAGCCAGTGCGTTCGGACGGTATTAAAAGTTTGGTGGGTGAGTTACAAGAATGATTTGCTGAAGGTGATTGCTGAGAAAGCAAAGATAGGGTATGGACATGGGGGAAGAAGTAACATATGTCTGTTACCTACAAAATTCAAAAAAAAAATTAGTTGGATGTTCATGAGTTTAGTTTAGCATAAATTTAACCGCGAAAATTGGATTTTTACATTTATCCAAGTATCGCTCCTCTCTTCAAAGACTATTTCGATGTGTTCCATGTACGCCTCATCTGCTCTGTCACCACAAACTTCATATTCCATTGGAGTCATGAAATTCGTTACAGGAATTTTCACAACTGCTGTGTGTTGTTGTGCCCGGTCCAGTAATTGCGCCCATATGCTGTGAATTTTGTATAAAAATAGGAAGAAAGGATGCGTAAACAATAGTAAATATGAATTAGTTGTAATGGCACTACTCTATCACAATGATATTATACTATATCCCCGGCTAATTACAAACCTTTTCCCATCAGGACACCACCCAAATCTGACAATATATTCCGACCACGGAAACATTTTCTCTAGAGATGCCTTTCCCCATAAACGTTTATGCACGGGACCAAATGCTGCTACCTTTACCATTTAATAGAACGAATTAGTCATCCGAGAATTCACGTTCACATAACCAAAACTTAAATGCAATATTTACCTCGCTGTCACCACTATCATATCGAGGTATGAATTCCACCAGTTGCAAGTCACCTACGGCATTATTTGTGCCTTGAAAAAGAAATGTGGGCAAAGACATGCAATCGCGTGGATTATTGAACAATATATTTTTACAGCATCGTCCGCCAAATTCATCCTATTCTTTTCTTTCTATTGCCTCCTTCCCCCTCACTCGAACCATTATAAAAATAATACAAACCAGCTCTCGGGTAATGATGTTCTTCTACTTCTCCATGCGATCCTGGTCGAGGAATGAGCACTAGACCAACTGCTGCTTCTGATATTTGTATATAAAGAATACGTTCTATCTTATCATTTAAGTACTCGTTTACCGATGGCGGTGCCCAATAGTAGCCGGTGAATCTGTGAAATTCTTCCTTTGATGTAAGCAAAGAGATTGAATAGGTAATGGTTAGATTGGTCCGATTCATCAGCTTCGATGTTCATATTCCTACATCAATTATCGGTCTATCCTTTTTAACCTACCTGCATGACATACTCGGCAATCCCACAGCTCAATGCTTCTCTTCTTGCATCTGGATGCTCACTACAGAAAGTCAGCCTCGTTTCATACCCCTTCATTGTCGTAACCCATATATCCCTATCCCGTATAAAAGCAACAAGATTAAAATTCCTTCCGCCTAATTTTGGATCTAGTCGCGGGAGTGAGTAACCCAAACCCGTTGACTTTGTTGCTGTTGTCGCCATCAGCGGCGAACCAGATGGAGTGGGAGAAGGTGAAGATGAGTGCGAAGAGGAATGGGATGAGGAATTAGATGAAGAACTGGGGGAGTAAGAGGATGGTGAAGCAGTTGAGGGGAAGAATGACGGGTTTGGGTTGGACATAGGTGAAGGTGAGTGTAGGCAGTGTGATGATAAACGAAAGGGGAGAGACAGGATTGCGTCTGCGAGAAAGTTGCTAAAGGTCTGACTAGTTATCGCTCGTGGTGTGAAGTTGATGGTCTAACGGAGTAAGTTGGAAAAAAAGGGAGGGTTCAATAAAATTAACCAATTCATTAATCAAAGCACGTCGATATACTCATATAAAAGGCCTAACCGTATCAGTTCGCTCAATTCGGCCAACGTACACTCCATTCCCATAGTTGAACAATATCTGTCCACTACTTTTCTCAAATTGATAATTCGCAATCCCTTGAAGCGCCAATCTCCTTCTCTCCTTTGAAAGCAATTCCTCTCTCGATAGTGTCTCTGAAGTGGGATTCTCTTGCAACCACGGCTCAGGTAATAATGGTCGCCATTCTAGGAAACGAATAGAATTTCCTTGAGATTGTGATGATGGGGGTTAAGAGAGAAAAGGCGCCGTTCAGTACGAATTGGTCAAGGTCTGCATTATTGAACAATTGAAAACAAAATAGTTCAAGTTGTGGGGAAATGAATAGATCAGCCTAAATTCTGATAAGCGGGAACCAAAGATGAGTATAACTATTAAAATTCCGCTATAAGCCACTTGTTATCTACAGATCTATTTATGCTATTCAAACTCATCCAGAAACAGATCACATGCTACTTTTTATTTCTCATTATCAACGCGTAGATGCCATACCTGATAATTCACCATCAAATTTTGAATTCTCATTTCGCCCTTCATCCATGTCGGGTGCTGTTCGCTCATCCTTCATGCTGTCCCTACTATATTTCACTTTTCCATCGCTCCTCTCGACTTTTGGCAATTCGACTACAAATAGAGTCGAGCTCTTGAATCGAGCAGGATCCGTAGCTAAGAAGTATACGCAATTGTTTGTGTCGTCAAAGCAGAACTCCTTTATATTAATAACGTTCGACGGCTGCGCCGAGTTACGGTACGCCCGAATATCTCTACGAACTTGCTCCCAGGTGACCAGCGTAGGACGAGGACCTCTTGCGCTGTTACCGTCAGCAGAAAGGTGTGGGGCAGGTTGCATAGTCTCAGACAATTTGAAAAAAAAAAGGTTGAAAATACTAGTAAATACTTATTCGACAAGGTATCTGAGATATATATATTTAAAGAATGTTGTAAAGAATGACGTGTAAGATTATAAGAACAAGATATATATTCATAGCGTGCGAAGATAAAGAGTGCAAATCCGCCCAGAATCCTAAATAGTTGTTATTAACATTAATTGAGTTTCTGGAGAGATCGTTTAGTAGTTAGTGTGGGAAAAGGCGTAGTGGTATATAATTTTGGTAATTTAAGGGAAGTTCTAGATGAATTCTTTTTTGAGGTCGATTGATACGCCTTCCTATTTTGGAAGAATTTTTCCTATCTCAGCCGGGATGCACAGGCAAGTCGGTTAACAAATGCCCGACTTGTGTGATTGAAGATATTGTATTAGTATTTGATTACAGAACTATGAGATAGTCCATATAAAGGTTTGCGCGGCGTTCACAGCTGACAAGTATTGCCAAGACACAAAATAACATTAACAATCTGCTGGAAGCTTAATAAATTGTTAGCGGAGGTAAAATTCGTCTCTCATAAGCGTGTTTCTGCAGAGGTTATAAATGTTAAAATTATAAAATATAATTAGCTGGTCCTCATGCGATATTATGAAGCGAGTGAGCATCCAATTTGGATATTCAGGCCTGATATAGTTTTTGGACCTCTCGAGTTGCGGTCGAATGACAAATCATGTGACTGTTGTTGATTAAGCAAAATTCCGGGAGTAAGAATTTCGCTATGAATATTAAGTTCTTAGACAATATTTCTCACAAAAGGAATGTCTTATGTCATAAGTCTTTTGAGAAAAGATTACAAAATGTATTAATGTAGGAGACTGTTTTGAAGTTAGTTTTAAAATTATTATTATTATTATTATGTAACTTTTCAAATAAAGCTACGCGGGCAAGTGCTTTTTGAACCATCCACGTATAATGTACGGTATGTCGCTAAAATAAAACGGAAATGGAAGTTGGGTGATTAGTGCCGCCAAATCTGGTCTATAAATCCTCAGATTTTTATTATGCTGTTCGCTCAAATTGCGGTTATTATTTATCCGTTTTTGGGTTAAATTCAGTCAACCGAAGTAATTCTCTCGTATAACATTGTACTGTTATTGGTATTTGGTACAGAAGTTTTGTTTGGGTTGCTGTACCGAAGTTATGTTTAGAAGACAACAAATTATTTTTGACAGAGGCTAACACAACATCCCTCAACAGGGATTACATATAACATTTGATGGCAGAGACAAACAGTAGGTACATAAGTGATTAGCTACCCACGTTGATATTGTAACGCACAGAATTGACCCAGTACATAGCATAGTCCCCCATTGTGTTTGAAGTAATTCATAATCAGCAATTTTCGCTAGATATAGAATATTAGTCCTCGAATTACCCGTGTATACATAACTTGTCTGTTCGCTATCTTTCAATTATAATATTAACATGCATAACAAGGTTAATTTTATAAATGGTCTGTGATGGACAAATTTTGCGCCGCAAGTATTAGCTATCACCACTTCAGTAAAACATTATTAATCGATGTGCAGTCTTTATCATTGGTAACAGAAAATTATAAGTACCAATCACTTTTTTGTTATCATGAAGGAATGACGTAAATAATACAAAGACAAAACACAACATAATCTCTAGTGCATTGTTATTATTGTCTCCGATAGAACGGGAACATCTTACCATAATGTGGGTATGCACATATTCACGTAAGCAATAAGATTTGGTGCACCAATTTATCACAGAGCACCCAGACTTGTAATTATTTATACCAACGTTGAGTCAAAGTATTATTCGTTGGTTAAAAAAATTAATTGAATCTTACATTTACAATATTATTTATACAATGATTTCGACCTATGAACATTACCCCAACTTATAAACACGAACGTAAAAGTAACATCCAGTGTATATGTGATCAAACTTGTTTTCTAAATCGACATCATTCACTTTCGGTGCGTTTACCTCTCGCTTTCCGATCATGCCTTTCTAAATAATTATCCGTACTATTGGTTACAATATCGGCGTCATCACCCAGCAGTTCGTTTGGTCAGATTTATTTTTTAATTCATAAGTTTGAATTTCTAATATCGCGACTTTACGCCAGACGGAAAAAGACTCTTGGCAACTGTGATAGTGATTACAATTAGTAATTGACTCTAACAGGGGGTTTTTAGTCCGGAGATGCAATACCGGAATGCTACAATCTGGATGACAAACAAAAAGGAGTCTTGTTTGGCATTGTGTAACTTCGCAATATTTGCGATAAATTAAATCATTGTCATCTGATTGAATTTTGTAAACAAATAAAGAACGCAAAATTCCAAACGATTGAATTTCCCATTTTCACTTATGTCGGATAGCTAATTTTTCGGCAGTTAGTTGACTAACCTCCCGGTCATTTGTGTACATGTACGATATTATACTAATGAGCAAATTGATAGCAATTGTGACTGAAGGGCTAAAGTAGTCCGGACTAATACTTGTGACAAAGTTTTATTCTGTGTCTCGTGCCCCCATACGGTACTGTATCACAAACAGAGATGTTGCCTGGAATCTTTCATATCTGTACACGTAAACAAGCAATGCATGGTTAAAATTAGAACATGCAAACGGTTGGTATCAATCATATCATCATTTATGATCTTTATAATTGGTTTAACTATGCGAAGAAATCGTAATCCTTGAATAGAATGACCAATCAAAGGCTTAACCCAAAAATAACTATTGTCTTCCCTGACTAAAAATTTTCGTACAACAGTTTCCCTCTTTACAGGTAATTTAAAATCTTTGCTATGACTTTTAGTTTTACACAGCATTAAATAGTACCTTTTTATGCTGGCACTAATAATTGACTAATTTGCAGCTTCATTTTTAGGCCTGACTCATCGTAACAATAACAATTAAACAAAGAATCACAAACACAATACGAACTTAAATTTTTGATGCTTGGTATTTTTGCGTACAAATATTGCGTGTAGCGTTTAGCAGATTATAGGAAATACTATTCTAAGAAATAAAGTATCGCAAGGGTAGACCATTGGCTTAGTTATACGTCAATGGAAAAAGGGTTGCTTGCAATTCAATAAACACAAAAAGCCGTCAATTATGTTATAAAAACGCAAACGGTCTGTCTTTGCATTCAATTACACTTCTCTGAGTTTTAATACGCCGAATCTTTCTGAATAGCATGGACCGCGATAATTTAATCACAGAAATTAACCGGGTCAGATGGTCAGAACCGTTCGCCCGTTATTTGATACTCACCTCTGGCATGACCTTCTTTACCGCAGGCTATGTTGTGAGCTCTGGAAACATTCTGCCTCTCGCCCTGCCAACAATCTACGGCAGCGCCAATTATAAAAGTGTCGAGTTCGCAAAGATATCTCTCCGTGTGGGTATGCTCCTCGGACAATTGATCTTTGGGGTGGTTGGAGATTTATACGGAAGACGGCGAGTAAGTATATTGCACCATAGCCAAAAGAAACGGTTCAATTCATGCAAACTCTAACATGTATTGTAACACAGGCATGCAATTTAACCTTGATGCTCATATTAGCCGGCACATTGTCGAGCTGTGTTTTGGGCGATGGTCCGGGTTTACGCATCGCTGCTAGTTTGGTAATAATTCGCGGCCTTCTGGGTATCGCAATTGGTGGAATTTATTCCACAGCTATACGTATGTACTGTATAAGCTATTTGCACAATTTACTCCCTTTTCAGTAACTCATTCTAACCCCATTGTTCTATCTCGTATTTCAGTTACGGTTTCGGAGTTTGCTCCGACCGATCAAAGGCCAACAATGCTGGCCACTATTTTCCTGGCATATATATGCGGTTCTTTCTTCGCGCTTTTAATCACTGTTGCGGCCCTGGCCGGGTCAACTCAAATTGACAGCATATGGCGCCTCGTTATTGGCCTTGGTCTTGTTCCCGGAATTATGGCTCTTGGACTCTGTCGACTGCGGCGAATTCCAGAAACTCCATATTATAAGGCGGACGTCGAACGCGATTTCGTTGCAGCCAACGAGATCGTTGATTACGCCCAAGGAAAAAGAAAGCACCTGAATAGACGCGACCCAATACAACACAACGGGGGAATACTATTATGGGGTAGGGGGCTTTTCCGCTACATGCGCAGAGATTTCCGGACATATGTTGCGATATGTGGCGCTTGGTTTATTGTAGATGCGAGTGCATATGGCTATCGCTCTGATATCCGGCTGCAGGATATCGACCTCAACCAGAATGTTGGGGATATTCATGGCTTGTTAATGCTAGTTAGCACTAGTGATGCCATTCGAGTGTCCCTTGGTTCTATAATCGGGGCCATTATGACCCTCGTCTTCATAGCCCATTTATCGCGTAAAAGGATAATGTATCTTGGCTTTGGTTTCTCAGCCATTCTGTTCATCGTCTTTGGATTCTTCTCGGGCAAGATGGGATATATCCCCTATTTAACCATTTCTACGATGGTAATGGTAAGTATACTAATATCTACTAAACTCAGCCCATGTTATAATTTCTTGGCAACTATAATAAGAATTAACATTGTCATGTCTTAAATTACTAGTTTGCACAGAACTTTGGGCCTAACGCCCTAACATTTATTGTCGCTGCAGAACTGTGGCCCACGCAATACCGTTCAACTTCTTACGGGATTGCGGCTGCGAGTGGTAGATTAGGGACTCTTACCACATTCATAATATTTAGTTGGCTTTCTGTGGATAGCGACAAGACTTTTATAGGGCCCCTTAGTCTTGCTATTCTTATGTTATTCGGCCTAGTGTTTACGAGCCTTTTGCCTGAATATGAATCTCAAAACAGGGTGTTAGAGGTAGAAGAGGTAGAAGTGGTAGAAGAGATAGAAATGGCACCGCCGTTGAATGGAGCGGTTGTATAAAAATAGTGACTCGTTGCGATGTATATGTTGTATAGTTAGTATATTTATTTCTTTGAAAATGTACATAATAATAATAAATTATTACTCTTCTGTATAACATTTTAACCTTGAAAGAATCGCAACATAAACAGTGCATCTACCAAAAAACTTCTGGTGGGACTGCGTTGGCATAAGCATACAAAAGTAAGTAACATACTGTCCTTTAGGCACCACTACTTACTCTAGCACACAGAGAAAAACACGCACGAAACATTCTTTTTTGTGTATTAGTTTCCTCGGCAAACTTTAATTGTATCTTCTGGTCATGAATAATAGCCGTAATAGCAAATATGGTGGGTTTACTCATACATAAAGAATGTGGGCAAGGATTCTTAAGAATGTTGACGTCCTATTCTCGCGCGATTAAACGACGCAAATATAATCAAATCAGTAGAGCCGATTTCAGATGAAAAAGATACGTTGTTATTACATCGGGTTAAGGGTTTACCTAATACTAAGCTGGGTATGGTAACAACGGATTACCGCTGTATTTGTTCCACCGAATTTACCGAATTTCTAAACTTTCTTGTTATTGTTTACTTATTTAGTGTGATCTCACCGCGGACACGTGAAGGTCACTGAAGTTCAATAAAGTCATCCCTTATACAACACTAAATACTGGTTATTTTCCTATCCTATACCTATTACTATATTGTAACCCTCTCAAGTTCTCTGTTTCCCACATTCTCTATGTACTTGGGTATACTATCCATATAGGCCAGTAAAATATATGACAGTCAATCATATTCAAGCCCGTCTGATTCAAAGAAGGTATACAAAAAGAATATATTGATAAGTATCAGATAATTCGTTTCCTCACGCAAGTGTCGCGCATATTAATATACACACTCAAACCATTACAGATTAGTCACTTTGACAATATAAAAGTTAGAGTATGACAACAACAGGTCTTATGAAGAGAGGGTTGACTTATATAATATTTACAATACAATTTATTACCCAGATAAAGATTCCTATTTCGATATCAGTATATGAACGCGACTTCGAACCCAAATCGCGAACCTGATTTTCTTAAATTCATGTTTAAACCAATAGTTTGCACAAAAAAAAAAAAAAAGGATAATACTATCCTATTCTCTTGAGATTATATCAATGTCCAAAAGGTATGAACATGTACAATGTAGAATAACAAAAATATTAGGCGATTCAATAAAACCAAAGGCAACTGTTACTGTGCCTAATTATTTCTAGTTCCCTGGAAAATTAAACATAACCCCTTTACTGAGCATTCTTATAGTTGCAAAGTCTTCTCTTTCGGGTGGACCGAATATCTTGACGGTTACTGGTACTTCATAAAAATTGGGTTCTTGATGCACGTAGCCTATGTCATTATATATTGTAACTAGCATGCAAATCATCATGTTTTTGCATATCTTACGCTAACTGCATTCATCAGTGTGATCTCTCACCTTTCAGTATCATATAACCAGAGTCAATTAATGGTGCCAATACTACAACATCATTTCTGGGTAGATATCCAACCTGCAATTAAAAAAAAAGAGTAGCTAGTATAAAACTCATCGATAAGTAATAATTATTCTAGTCCTGTCCTATCACTATGCTTACTTGCTCACCGTACATGTTGTCTGCCCGAATAGCAAACCGATCATAATTGTTATCAGGCTCGCGGGAGAAAATTACCTAATGCATGTATGAATGTTTGTCAATAGAGCTTATTTCAGCCTCTATTTTTGGCTCATATTTCTACTCACGCTTTGTCCTTCAGACACTTTTGCGCTATAAAACCTCAATCCGACCAGTTTAGACTCTATCCAGCCAAAATATTTTAAATCTGCTTCAACATAATCTGCAAGTTGTATAAAAATCAAATTCAGCTCAAAGAAAAACAAACAACCAAAGCGCATTGCCCGAGAAGATCAGAGATCGTCATCGACAAGAGGACCTTCTATTATCTCTGGTTGTTCGACTCTTTTTCTAGGCATCAAGGTGGACTTAATTGAGAAAGAACGTACGTATACAGCAAGAGATATTCACACAGTTTCTTTGTTTTATTGTTTTTGTGGATCATTTGCAATAAAAGGGAAATAACATGTGAAATATTCATTTGATATCAGTAGAGACCCCCCCCGTTCCCATGAAACGAAACTAGTTATTTTTATCGCTACGTTTTTTCAAAGAAACCGTCAACTCTCTGAATCAACAATCGAGATTTGCAAATATCATACCGACTTCAATCTCGTGCCATGCAGAAGTGAATGTGAATGACGTAAGCGATATAGTATATGTATGATTTGTAAGCAATTATCGATAACATGAATAATGATATTCTTTGTGTCAAAAAAATCGAACCAGCCTATACTAATACATTTATTTTTTCCCCCACCTTTGCTGCTCACAGAGCGATGGGGGGAATTCATTTTTCATGGTTGTTTTACATTTACATCAATTATTCTTTTTACAAGTACTTTACAGGATCTACCGCATCGAAATCTATCTACATCGGTCTTTCTACTCTTCGTTCTCGATTATTTGTTTTTCTCCTCCTCTTCTTCTTCTTTTTTTATAATAAATACTGTCTTGTACAATTATTTACAGACCAACACAGAATTTCCGTCCAGTGAATTCTATCTATGGTTGATCGATTGGATATGGGACATTTTATGATGTGACATTTTGTGGAGTAAATCCAAATTTACGACTCATCTTTGTCATCTTCATCTTCATCGTACATCACATTACAAATATCTCTTGATAAGTAACGTGATGACGACGACGATGGTGTGGAAGGAAAGAGGAGAAGTGACGGTAGTCGTTCGCTTGATCTGTTGTAGTGTCACGAGGTCATTCCACCGCCTGTACTCGTCTCGCTCGGTATCGATATCATTTCTTGTCGTGTCGGGTAGTAACTTTCCCGTCTATCGAATTCTGCTTCATCTTCCCTCTCGTATTCGTACGAAAAGTCGTATGAATATTCGTATAAAGTATCATCGTTCGCCGATATATGGTGAATATACGCAAGTGCTATGACCCCAATCAGCTGTGATGGTAGAAGAAAACGAGTTAAATTATTGGATGCGCATGTATGATAACTGTCGGATTTTGTATCCAAGTTTCTTTTACTTGCCTGGACCAGCCGCGCCAACAACATGAACAAAGCAACATGATAAAGTTGGGGTCCAAAGCGTTGTATCAGCATCGAATCACACGACATCTGGAAGGTCTCGGCAATATTAGCCGCCCTATCCGTTGTGCTATAATATCCTTTGCAAGAGAACTAGAGAAAACCATTCCATCAGCCCAACATCCCCATACATAATCGTTCAGTTCTCATAAAAAAAAAAAAAGAAAAGAAGAAGCCAACCTCATATTGAATTTCCTCTATCAAATCCGCACTCCTTTCATAAGCCCTCTGCCACGACAAGCTCAAACTTTTAGAAATCCAATGGCGGTTATTGAGGACTGTAACGCAAGCCCCTGCAGTTTGCAAGAAGCTGAATACCATGAGGAATGTAGACATCTGTTTAGAAACAATAATTTCGAGTTAAGGGTTATATGATTTTAGAGTCCAAAGAGGAAAAGAAGGATGAAGAAATGGAAAGGAAAAAGAGTATCTGGATGACAGGTGAGCATTTCTAATGAGGTGACGGAAGGGAAGATTAATAGCTGTGATGATGAACAGACTGTTGATCCATCACGCACTCGGCTATGATTATCCCCTCCCCTCACCCCCACCCCCCTACATCATCCACAATCCACGCTCTTCTTATTCCTATTGTGATCCCTACTATCTTCCATCATTCTTACGAAAAAGAGAAGAAGAAAAAAGGATACAAATTGTCCGATCGTTCTCCCTTTTCCTATCAGTCCGGAAAATGCAATCACCCATATGCATACAGTAATCACGAGTTCACCAGATAGTCCTAATGTTGGGGTAAGTACAACGCCAGGAGAAAATTTGTTTTGATCGATTTGCATGAAGGTAGTGGTTGTTGCGACTTTTGCGTTCGATTTGGCCAGCGATAGCAAACATGTTGGAATCTATATCGGGGGAAGAAGAAGGGGGGAAAGGTTTGAGTCGCAGTTGAGAGAAGAGAGAAGAGAAGCGATTTTTTTTGAGTCGAAACGAAAAAGTTGGACAAGTTTCGGTGAGTAGATTCGATGTTTCGAGTGATATCGAGGATGTCAACTATATTAATATGGCTATTGGGGGATGCATACATATCGAATAACTCTCACCAAATACATTCCCCTCTTGATGCATCCGCATCCTTAACTTACCACAGTCAATGCGATAGCAACAATAGCTAGCCAGAGTTTGTGAAGACTGCGAAATGCCTGAGCGTCCCACATTATCAGATTATTGATTCCGCTATCCAATGTTCTGTTTGATGTTGAGGAGTTGATTGAATTGTTTATCGTATAATACCTATCCATTCTCTAACAAGATTTATGATTCTAATGTCAAGTATGTATTTTTTTTTTTAATTTGCAAGTTGAAAGTGTAGGGTATTTAAAAGTATGGGATTTATACTCGTGTTAAACATATTTGATGAGATGACGGATGTATCTATTATGGCTACGTAATTTGAAATAAATCGTATAAATAATATAGATAATACAAATGTGATTTATGTAATGTATAAATAAATTAAATCGTGCAATAAAATAAACAATATATTAAATGTGACCATATAATACTCTAATACTAATATATACATGTCTAACACCAACTGTTCCTGTACTCTTATCTCTAACACATTATTACAAAGAAAAAAAAAAGAAAAGAATTTTTCTGCTGTTCCCCAGCTTGTGCAACTTGTCACAAGATCAAAAGACCTCAGCATCAGGTCTACGCCGGTATAAATAGATAATATGACGAAAGTCTGTAACAAAATATGACAACTAGAACATTGGAGAATCATATGTCAATCACCCGAATATATATAGTATTTATACACATTACCATATTGATGTTATTGGACATTGGATATGGTGTGTTCTTTTTTCATCTTCGATATTGCGACAATCTTCCCCTCTCCCTTGGCATCCGACAGCGTAGTACCAACCAACGTACATTTTCATCGAACTTGTCGATAGATTAAGGTTCAACATTTTTTTACTCTCAGTCTCGAGTCGATAATATCATGGTTCTATGCAATGCACTTGTACCAATTGCATTTTCTTCATTGTTCAGCTAGCTGCAACATCACACTACGACTCTCTCAAAAGAGACAGATGCATATCAAAACCGGTATGACTGACTGTTGTATTATATTGCACTCGATCAATTATTTGGCCCCCCTCCTCTCCCCTCTGCCCCATATTCTGACGATGACGATCTTTGTTATGATTGCAAATCAATATTATTCTCCGTATGTGTTTACTTGAAAGCTTTCAGGGTTTGTACCCATTGACCATTCCATTCTGTCATGGCGAAAATGTACAGCATACAAAAGCAAGTTTCTCTATCAATCTTCCTCTTTATATTCAATGCCTTTATTTATCGTCTTCAATTTCATCACAAATAGTTGTATTCATCACAAATAGTTGTATTCATCACAAATAGTTGTATTCATCACAAATAGTTGTATTCATCACAAATAGTTGTATTCTTCACAAATAGTTGTATTCTTCACAAATAGTTGTATTCTTCATATATCGTGCTTCACTTGGAGTAACTTTTTTCGACAATTTTGGTCGTTAACTTTTGTTTTACCGCTCTCAGTTCCGCAATGCAATTCACAGAACGTAAGTTCTGATGCATAGAATGCGCGGGGGGTGGCTGTAGCGTCACGAAAACTTTTTTCAAATGCTATGAGCCCCACTGTAGTGCCTCATAACGCTCGCTATGCAGGGCTGTGTAAATTTCTGGAAAAGGTTCATGCGTCACCCGAATTACGCAATCGCTTATAAAATTATATTGTGACAATAGCATTATGCCATCGATGAACGCCTGACATTTAAAAAGTATTCTGTTCGACTTGTATTGCTGGTTACACATCAACAGATGCATGCAAATAACTACCTGTGCACCCAATTGCAGTTTACCTGCATAGACTGCAAAAACGATTTTAGACAAGTGCTCGAGGTACCGTTTCACTGAATCAATTACTTTGCTAATTTGAATTCATCCCTAGCTCTTGCTTTCCACAAACCAAACAAAGTGACATCATTAGTGTCTTGCCAGGATCATAATCATTATCAACTAACCTATTTAAGCAAGTAAAGAAGTCACCATTGATGGTTGATCAACTACCGCAGGTGAGCAATCGATTGCTGACTGTAGCGATTTAACCAAGTTCGAGCAGAGCTGTGGCGTCTCTTAATAAATGACAGTTAGTACCTTTTACTATTACTAGGCTTTTCTACCCATACCCACAACTTCGGTGCCGATGCGAGACACTAATCCTCGATAATTAATCTACCGATGGGATTAAATCGGTAGTCTATAGGGACTAGTGGTTTGTCGGCTATATCAGGAATAAAGTATCAGACATATTGCAGAAGCTGCTCGTTTATTGATAAATAAAAGGAATAAAAAAAGAATTGAACACACCGAAACTATCTGAATTCATAAATCTTTCAGAAATATTGGTGTTCTTTGGCAACGTATGTTGCTGAGTTCTCCACTAGAATCTTAATTATGTACGCGGTGTTGCTGACATCAATTGCTGAGTTCTCCACTAGGATCGTAATTATGTACGCGGTGTTGCTGACATCAATTATTCTTTGTGGCACCATCAGAGAATGTAGGTCATCATTATCAACATTAATAAGTCACCCAGTGCAGATTTATATTTATCTACAATCATGCTTGACATGGTTGTATTTAGCCTTCATGACTTTGTGTTTTATGTTAAAGAGATGATAATAACCATTATCAAACAAACCATCATAATTTAAATCACCAACTTAAAATATGTTAGAACAGAATTTATTTACAAAGTATCTCGTTTTAGATTTTTTACAGTCGGACTTTCCCTAATGTGATTGTTATTGACTAAGTCAATGTAGACGATAAAGAGATATTTACTATTAAAAAATTAGCCTTTATTATTATATGCAGAAGAGAGATAATATTGACTGCAATCGAGATTGGAATAATTTCGATTTTTACTTTTTATTTGCAGTCGTACGACACGCGCTGGGATGATCTATGAAGATTATTTGGTTCAAGACTTCGACTTTTTTTAGTCACCGCGCGTAATGTTGATTTGCCGATCTTTGTGAAAGATTTTTTTATCCAGTCTGAATGTCCCAAAACGATACTACACAAACTTCTTCAGCATCAAAGTTTAAGAAACGAGATATATATAGAGGCGCTTAATATAACGTTTCGCGGAGCTTCAGGCGAAAATGATGTTATACCCAACGTTGAAGGTATGAGCTGTATTGCCTATCAGCAAGCTTTCAGCAAACAAACTATTTACCATTCAAATGTCTTTCTTTAGTAACGACCATCCCACGGGAATATATTCTTGACGGGATTAACAGATCTTTGCTTAGATCACCAGATTTTAACGTTGACAATCTTGAGGGAGTCTCGGATGACGATGCTAAGACGTTTATCGATAAACTGCATGATATTACGGAGAATTCACTTGAAGCGGTGGGGACAAGCGAAACCTACACTAACTCGCTAGTAGACGATTTGCTTCGTGTCGTTAGGTTGAATACCTGGCCATTAAAGATTCAGTGAGTATTTGTAAGGAGGCGTTATGACGATTATAATACCTTAACGATTTTCTAAGTTTACGTTTTGTCTCCAGAAATCACCCACCGTGCAAACTAGTCATCGAGAATGAACCACTTGTGTCATCAGACCCCGAATTTGTCGTGAAGAAGCGGGGTTTTGGGCTTATAGTTGTAGAAGTATGTAGTGTTTCTTTATCAAGTTCTTGTTTTCGCCGACTCACAACTCCCCCTCCCTTCCTCGAATAGACCAAACATTTGAAAAATCTCAAAAATGCCGGGCAAAGCACCAAATTTGGGGAAACCCAGATCGCTATAGAGATTCTTGCTTGCGGCAGTGAGAACGTGCATTCCCTTGAAACAGAAGGATATATTGATCAAACACTCTGGGCTATACGCGTGATCTCTACATATGTTACTTTTTATAAAGCTGAGATTCCTGCAATGTATTGGACAGAACTTGATTACGGTCTGCCACAAGAACAGTCGATTGAGATTCAAAGATGGCCGCCCGACAATGGTTTAACGGCTGGTTTTGATCTTTCTGAACCGGACGGAAGACGAACGGTATTGACAGCACTAACCAAAATTCGCGAGTCACTTTTACGGGAAGATGCATAAGAAGGGATTTTCGTAGTAACGTTATGGTGGTGTTATTTGGTCATGCTAGGGGAGCGATTTATCTTGTCGGACGGACAATTTATTATAACAAAGTAACCCACTTTTGCTTTTGCTAAAGTGTTAATTTTTTAATGCATTTATTATTACCTTGCGCGTGATGGGCGATGGGGTATAATTCATTCATTCACCAGTTTGTATTGGCTGTACTAATTACAAAAGTCTAGCGATACTTTTAGTATCAAAGACACTTTACAATTTTATTGCAACGCGCTTCTGAAAGACATTGTTCACAATAAAGAATACGAGTTCTTCAGCAATTTAACCAAAAAAAAAGTTGTCTATCCCATTATTTCCGGAGCATAAAGCGTGGAACTAGAAATAGTCCTTTTTTTTTTTCCTGTTCGAAACAGAAACAGGAGACGTAACTATGTTTGCTACGCTAAATCCCGTGATGTCGCGAGAAGCGGAGCTTCGAGGCTCTGCCTCTCTCGAAATCGCAACCCGGGCATTCTGGCAGACACGGCTAAATTTATTTGTAATATAACGCAAATATAAATATATATAAGGCCCCCTTACGCATAACCCTTTGGGTCATATAGTTGTTATTTACGCGATTTCTGGATTTGACCTAGAATCTTCGCTTCACGTATCAAATTTCTAACTATATGATGTAATCGCTTTAGAAATGCGATACTTCATCTTTCACGGTTACTATTGGAATTCCCCTATGATAAAGTTCCCAACATGTAAGTCGATAGGCTCTTTCACCGAAATATTCGCCATCACCCCACCGACCTTGTATATTCTCGTTTTTATGCTCTTTATTGCATACCGGGCATATTCCTGAACATGCAAAATTATCGCCGTATTTGTCACTGTGCGTAAAAAGATAATTGAGGAAATCGCTCCAGCACCATTTTAGTAACATGAACTCGTTTTTCTTCTGGGTCATGGAACTTTTTCGAACAGACAGAAACTGAGAGCTTTGCTCCTTTACTCATTGAAGCGACAGAGTCAGAAGTCTGATCGTTAACAGTGTTAACGATTTTTGAAGTTACATAATCGAATTTGAGGATTAGTGAGTCTTGAAATACTGTCAGCGCTACAGGTAACCCAATTAA